GCCTGTGGTTTTCCTTCACATATGTTACCTTGCATAGCTCAAAGGATTTTGAAGATTGATTAAATTAAGGATGTTGAAATGGAGAGATTATTCTGGATTCTGGGTGGGTGCAGTATAATTACAATGGTCCATATAAGAGGGAGGCAGAAGGGTCAGAGTCAGGATGAAGATGGGAGATGTGTATGTGCATGTGTGTGTGTGTGTGTGTGTGTGTGTGTGTGTGAGAGAGGGCTGGACTGAATAGACAGAGTCAGCGTTTGCGGTGGACAGATTGCCTAGAATTCCCAAGGGGGAAATACCAGTAGAGAGAGAGAGAGAGAGAGAGAGAGGGAGAGCGCGAGAATTTTATGTTGCAAGACTTAAAGATGAGCCCAGGAATTGAGGTGACCACTAGAAGCTGGAAAAGGCAAGGAAATGGATTCTCCCTCGGTGCCTCCAGAGGAATACGGCCCTGCTGAAGCCTTGATTATAAGACTTCTCACCTCCAGAACTGCAAGCTAATGATTTGTGTTGTCTTAAACCACAAGTTTGTGGTAATTTGTTATAGCAATATAGAAAGCTTATACAAAAAAAAACATGAGATGGCAACCAGAAAACAAAGAGAAAATAGATGTCAGTTCCAAATTATAAACCTGCTGAAAAACAATTGAAAACCAAGATAGTTTATACAAATGACAATCTATGTGAAGACATGAAGGTTTAACAACAATAATAATAAAGCATACTATGATCAGTATAAAAAGAGTAATTCACTGGAAAGTGAGCAAAGAGTGATTATTGGTAATGTCAGAAGAAATAAAAGAAATAAAATATAGTGTGTTACTAAAAACTTCAAATTAGAGCATTGAATTAAACTTTTCCCACCTGGACACATAGCAGTGATTTATCAGACACCCAGCAGTGGCCAGAGTGTAAAGAACAGGAATTGCCATGAACTCTAGGTGAGGTCATAATTTGGTAAAAGCTTTCTGGAAAGCACTGCCAAACAGTTATTACCTAAATGATAACTGTATATACTCTTTGACTTAGCAATTCTGTTTCTAGGATTTCATTCCTTAGAAATGCTAACCCAGGTGAAAAAAGATACGTGTAAAAGTGTTCATAATAGCATTGTTTGTGTAGAAAAAAAATGAAAATGACCTAAAATGGATATATTTAGGAGATTGAAAGACATTAGTTATATTCAAATTTTTTTGTATGTCCATACCTGTAGAGAATTTTTATCAGTTTATTTGAGCCAAGCTGATAATTGCTGGGAAGAAAAATCTCAACAGATTGAGAAAATGCTCCAGAGAATGGCAGTTTTGCAGCTTATTTTACACATTAGAATCAAAGCAGGAGACATAAGAAAGATTACATGGAATCCATCGGTGGTAGATTAAGGGGGTGGAAGAAAGCAAAGCGAGGAAATATCTGAGATTGGATAAAAAAATAAAATGAAGAAACACACAGTTCTTTTACATTGGTAGGTCCAGGATAGTTAATAATTAACATTTATGGTACATAGAGATGGTATGTGGGAAACAAGATAATGATGAGGGATTCTGGATGTCATGTTCTGGTGTAGTTGTGCCATGAGTCCGGAAAAGGAGATTATGCTGACATTTCAAAGTTATTTTATCTTAGATGCAAAAAGACAATAGGCTCACTTAAGGTAAAGACTGACCTTTGCCAGGAAGGCTACAGGTCTAGGATGTGACTACCCACCGTGACCTGCTTTTAGCTAGGAATTTTTATTTTCTGATCATCCTATGTGGTTACTTTCGATCTCTGAGTTTGTAGGGCCCTCCACGCAGACCTCCCCTGAGCTTGTCAGGTATGTGGCCCCTTTTTTGTCCACAAGATAATGGACTACAGTGTTGTCTTTAAAAAAAATGGGGTAGATAAGAGCAAATATTTATAATATATTGATAAGTGATGAAAACTAGTTGCAGAGAAATTTTGATTCTGTTATAAAAATATGTATATATGTCTCATGTGCATTTGTATATTTATATAATACATAGTTGTATATTTGTGAATTATATACACATATAATTTTTATCAGTATATGAATAGGAAAATTTTTACAAGCAAACTTAATAGAGAAAAGAATGTGGTTTCAGGAAACTTTTACTCTTTGCTTTATTTATTTCTCTACCGTTTGAATTTTTTTACAACACATGTTTTATTCAGAATAAAAAACATAAAACTGAAAATTTATTTATATTAGATGTTTAATGAATCTCAAGTGATTCATAATTGAGCTTAGTGGAGCACATTATTCTCTTGGTAAAATATTACCAATTTGATTACATGTGGAGGAAAGAATCTAGAAAATCATTATTTTTGCAAAGTAGACAACAAATAAATACTTGCTGATTGAACAAATAAGTAGAAATAAATCAAGATGCTTTGGTAACTAAGAAAGGAAGGGCTCTATAAATGTCCCGTAGGAACCAACAATCATTTCTTTGATGCTTCCTGAGGAAAGAAGTGTTCGAATATTTCTTTCCCTCTTCTTGTGATTCCTGAAGCTATCCTCAGTGTCCTGACATCGATTAGGAATCTTCATATAATATAAGCTATAAACATAACCTATTAGGGAACTCATGCACAATGTTTCATATTGATTAAGAGTAAATTATTTCAGGAAGAAATTCCAGAAGAAGGTATCTCTGGAGTCTAATATCTGAATTATATGAATCAAGTGGCAGCAACTAAATCAAGTAAGATTTTGAAAGGAATTTAAAGACCTCTCATTTTAAATGTGATTATGCTTAATTGCGTAGCACTACTTAAAAAAAAATATTTTTATATATATAAAACAGTTAAAAATTTTTAAAAATATAGTTAAAAAATATATTTTGGCCATTAGCTAGCGCTTTATAATGGTGAGTGAGGTTGAGTATTCATATAACCAAATTCAGATGGACAAATGAAACCCAGTGATTGAAGTGCGCTTTATATTTGAGAAGAGTGTAAGAAGATTAAGCCTTGCATTTAAAATTTTAGAACTGTTGTCTGTTCACATGCTCACCCCCACAAACTTTTTTTGGCTACAGTTGGACAAGGCATAGACACCTGGTCCATTCAGTGTCTCTGTCCAGGCCGACTGGAAATGAATTCAGAAAGGCCAGTCCTTCTCTAAGTGTCAGTAAAACTGTAACATATAAAGTCAAGAGCAGTGGTAGGTTCATATTTCTCAGTGTGGATGGTGAGTAGAGAAAGCCTATTGGGAGGGAAGGAGGAAGGGGATTGGAGAAGGAGGAGGGAAGGAAAAGTAGGAGGGGAGGTGTGGGAGAAGTCAGGTGTGTCAAAAGAAGCAGACACAAGAGATAGTAGGAGAGCACTTCCTGGATTCTGGAAGGATCCACAGTTCTAGTTCCTTCCTAGGCCCAGATGATATTTGTATAACCACTTCTGCCTTTTTCCTCAAGCTACTTTGGTATGATTTCTACTAACCAAAGTGAAAGAATCCTAATTAGCTTTAGGGAGGAAATAGAAGGGCCTTTTGTTCAGTTTTTTTTTTCCCCCCCCCAGATAAAGCCTGGAAATCAAACTCTGTCTAGATTGCCAGAGCCTGCCTGCACCTGCCAGAGACTGTGTCTCATTTCTGGACTCTGGAGCTGGAGAATGGCGCATGTGTGTGTGTGTGTGTGTGTGTGTGTGTGTGTGCATGTGTGTGTGTGTGTGAGAGAGAGCCACGCAACCTCAGACCACCAGTTGCTCCATTCTAACACTCCGTTTCCCTCTAGAAGTGGGGAGCAGTTGGCTGCATTGGGGGAATCACATCATCACACAGGCTCTACCTTCTTTCACTCACAAACACAGAATATTGGAGCCAGAAGGGGCTTCAGAAATCATCCGGTGCAACTTCCTCATTTAATAGATAATGAAACAGAGATTTTAAGGGATGAAGAGGCTTATCCAACGCTACACAATAAATTAGTAGTAAAACCAGGAACAGAACTTTCCGGCATTAGAATTCTCCCTTTTACAGTCGGCTGAAAGTGAGCATCTGGGCTGGGCCCCAGCCAAGTGGGAAATGGTGATAAACTTTATAAAAAACCAGCAATTTGCGTCATCTCTCTTCTTCTTGGGAGGAGGCTTGGAGTTCTTATTGCCTCTTGCAGAGCATTCAGCTGTGCTCCCACAGCAAGAATAGCATTCAACTTTCCACAACCTTCATTTCCAGGGTCAGGATAGTAAATAAGAGGAAAGCTCTGAGCTTAATTGGAACTTTTTTTTCTTTTTTTGTAAAACATAATGGAAGGATCACTGAAATGTCAAAACATTTTCCAGTAATCTGGGAAACTTACCTTTGCCTAAAGCAATTACCACATTTTTCAGCATGACATTTTCATCGTCGGAAGGCTTGCAGGGAAGTAGAAGTCACACCAGGCCAGGTTATCAGGTTATCATCCTCCGCAACGGTGGAAATGGAGAATTCCCACAGAGGTTTCACAATATTTCATTTCTGTTTCTTTCAATGTTTTTTGGCTTTAAACTTGGTTTCCAAGCTATTTCATGAACCATACTTTTCCTATGTAGAAATCGCTGTCATTAAATCATCTCAGAGTCCAAATTTCAACAGATTACTTGGACAAAGTTATTAATTTTAAAGCAGTCCAATGAATATTTACTTAATAATCAAACTGACATCAAAGCCATATTCATGGAGAGGTTTTAATAGATGGTCACATATACCTTATTCATTTTTTATTTTAATTAATGGTCACTGGCATGCACTTTTAATTAATCATTCCCTAGCTTGTGTATTGAAAGAGGACAGTGAATTTAATTGAACCCTACTATTTCAGGACTTAATTATTCAGTACTGTGCTATTTTGAGATTGGAAGTTTAGCTTGTCTGATAAATTTTTTCATGGTTAAAGTAAATTTATAGTACATACAAGGTGTCAGGGAAAGCAGTTAAAATGCTGACCTCATTCTCTCATTTCCTCATCAGAGAAACCCTATATGGTTGGCATTATTACCCTCTGTTACCCTCATTTTACAGGTGAGACAAGACGGACTCAGAGGTTAAGAAACAAGATATTGTAGCTACTGTTTTGCTGAGCTGGAAAGTGAACTCAAGTTTTTCTGACTCTACGGTCTGTGCTATTTTCTCTGCCAAGATATATTCAACAGCCATTCAACAGCAGTTTATTTATTCATTAATTAACTTCCTCATCAAACATTTATTGAGTCCCTGTAATACATGGACCAGACAGGCTCCAGCAATACCGAGATGGATAAGATCCAGACTCTACCTTGGGACTGGGTAGTGGAGATGGTTATACATGGAAGCAGATGATCACTAAACAATGTGGCCACCTCTGTCACAGAGCTGTGTACTCAAAGCAACTGTGATAAGAAACACTTTATTTGCTAATAATGAGTCATACTTATTTCTCCACTAAAGTCATATTGTTAGCATTCTTTGAGTTGCTTTGTGTAATTCAAAATAGTAGAACTAACTTTATTTCTTTAATAGCTTTCAATATTTCAGATTATACTACTTATTCTCCAAGTAGCTCAGCATTAGTTAGACTTTACCTTATTTATTTTATTGATTTCTGAGCTAGGACTATTGTAAAAGATACAGTCAGCCAAGCTGACATTTCACTCAAGAAGTGACTTAAGTTCAGAATATGAGTCAAGAGACTTTTTGTCTCTTCTAGGAAGCTAAAAATTCAAACCCTTGCTGCATCAGAGTTTTACCATGTGTTATTCCTGCAAACATTGTTCTTTGAAATCCCTTAAAATATAACTTTGAAAGTAAATATTTTCTTCAGGTATGGTTTTTGTTTTCCCCAGAAACATTTATTGAGCTCCTTCTGGATTTAGTTACTGCTGGAAGCATTGGTATATGCAAAGAAGAAACATTTATGTGAAGGAAATCTGTTTTCAGAATTGTCATTATAACAAGTCATTTCACCATCTATAAATTGGAGATAAGAGTTGCTCTGCATACTCAACAGTGTTGTAAATGGGATCAAATGAGGTAAGACATACAAAATGATTTTGGAAACTACCTGATAACTCTTGTAGCTCTTGTAAAAGTAAACTTATGTGCTTAAAGTATATAGTTAATAAATGGCAAAGTATGGGGGTGTGGTTTAAGTGGACTAAAGAATTTTGTTTTCGACAAATTCTAATTGTTTAGACATCTAGTGGTGTGAATGATTTCTTCCAACACATTCGTTTTATGGGTTCAGTTGTTGAACTTTCTCATAGCAGGACACATCTATTTTAATGAACTTTTATTTTATGTAATGCTTCTGATTCAATGCAACTAGAAACAAGTTTGATAATTGTATATTTGGTTCTTCTAGAACTCCAGTATATATCAAATAACAACAAAAACAACTAAAAGCTTTTGGCACAGTAAAATTAAAAATCTAAAAGCTTTTTAAAACTAGGAATTTAGCTCTTCACAAAGATAGACCTTTGGCTGTGAGAGCAACACTGATCAACGGTGTTGTCTTAGTCCCAGATCTGTCATACTGTACTTAAATACTGTTACAATTTGTTAAAGAAAATGCATTAATTTAAATGATTAAATCTGAGCTTTGGCTGTTGTGACAGTTTCAAACGACCGTATAAAAGGAGACAGGCTTGTGTTCATAGCACCTATGTGTAGCACGAATGGGCTGAAGGAGTGGATAATTAATGATCTTGGAGAGAATGAAGGGCTGAGCAAAAATGGTTCAGGGTGGGCCTGCATCTCTGGATCTCTGGGTAGAGCTGGCCGGCGTTAGTGAAAGTTACTGCTGGAGCTGTGTATTACCTCTGAGAGCATGTCAATACCTCTTCCTAATTCTAGTTACTATTTCCAAAGGCTTTAAAAGTAGAGTCAATTTTGTGCTGCCTGGAAGAAGAAAATAGAACACCCAATGGGCAATTGGTGTTATGAAATTATCGCATAGAATGCCTTTAAGAATGAGGGGGAAAGTAGAGGGGAGAGCAAACCTATTCTTCTATTTCCAGATAAATGGCAGAGTCTGGCAATAAAGTTTCATTGCTCATGAAGTTAGAATACTTTGATATAACAGTTCTAAGAGAGGCTTAAAGTGGCCCAGATAAATTCTTTAAACCACAGCCACCCTCCATAAGAATACATTAGGGACAGGTATTGATTGATAAAGGCAGGGAGTGGAATACTGGAAAAGCTGGTTTGAGGATTGGCTCTACTACTCAACCTGCAATGGTTAACTTTGCTTCTGAGCCTTTTTGTTGTTGAGATTTTCATATTGCTATCATATTGCTTTTAAAGTGCAAAGATCTTTTTTTTTTTCTCACAATGTTCTTTGATTTATAGCCTTGTGTTTTTATTTTGCGGATTAAGTATACAACCTTATTTCTCTGAGGGTTTCAATTATAGTTGATTCTAATTTTCTATCTGCTTACTGCAACATTTCTGTTTCTCCCGAGTTATTTCTTACATTTTGGATATCTTAACTTCTCTCTTTTATGTTGGAGCCTTTCCTCAAATGACTTATGATCCTTGGATTCCACTCATTTTTAAGAATGAGGTGATAAAAAGTTGGTCGATAACTAGGTATAAATGTCAAGGGCTTCTCAATGGGTGGCTTCTTTATTGAGGGACTTCCACAATAAAATACGTGTCTTTTCTCTTGGTCTGGTCAGTTTCTCTTCTGAAAGGTGCAAGCCTCTCTACTAGCATTCTGGAGGAAGCTAACAGATCTCACCACTTACATAATGCCCATATTTTTCAATATAACATGCCCGCCCTCTGCTCTGCCTATGTATTTAGCTCAGAATCTTTCTGGTTCATTCTTTTAAGAGCATAAGCCTCTGTCTTCTTTTGCGGTGAGAGAGACTTCTGAGGTTCTAAATGCAGTTTGTACAGATTTTCAATTTATCCTCTTGTTTTTATAACCCATCTGCGTTCCTACTCTCTTTTAATAGGGTGGCTGCAATTCTTGAAAATCAGGAGTTTTTCTATAGATCACCTGGTGTCCCCTGCTGCTCGTTAGTAAGGTCAGTCTTTTCAGCTCTGTGTCATCAATTATGTCTTATTCACCAGATTTCTAGTTCCCAAATTTTGATTTGCTATTGTCTTTTCTCTTGTTCTCTTTCTCTTTGTGGGTTTATGCTCTTAAAAATACTATCTCTACGGTCATCTAGTGTGTTGGGGAGGG